TTCTGCACACGCAACACGCACAGCCTGTGTGCACAAGCTTGCAGTAAAACTGTAATGAGCCTCCAGCGAGCTGGTTCCAACTGAGATTTTTCGAGGCTTAACAATATGGTTTATTTTCTAGGGGGTCGCAAATGGCACTCCTTACTGTCAGAACAAGCCCCAAATGTGGAGCTCCTAGTCCAAAGGACAGGATTGCTAGTGTATCACTGGTAAAAGCTATTTAAAATGTGCTATGTATTTTCCCCCAACCTCAATGTCAGAGAGGTTTGATCCACTTCAATTTAAAAATCAGCCAGAAGCATACTCTCAGCATGGCAAATTCAGCATAAACAGTAAAAAAGTGGCCAAATTGAAAGACCAGTATCTTGTAGCGGGAAGCACCATGCAACCCTGCTGCCAGCTCTGCTGGTAATATATGGAAACAGAACCGCTACCTACCCTGCCTGCACGCTGGAACTTGACCTCCCCTGCGTTCTAAGTACTCTTCTGTATCTTTTCCAAAAATCTATTTGAAATTATTATTGATTTTGTCATTTTGGCTTTAGGGTTATATTCATCTCACAGAGCCAGCTATATTCAACTCTACCCCATGAGAATTTTTCAAAACTAAAGCTAGAGAGACTGGTGTACAGATATTAAGACTGACTAGTTAAAAAGATCGAAGCTGTCTTATTCTCCTTTATGTAAGACAGCTTTAAATTGACTTTGTTTCCATTCCTCAAAATACAACCAAGGACAGTAGCATACTCTGTCTCAGTATTTTATGCTCAATTTAACTGCTATATTGCATTAAATGATGTGCAATAATGTAACACTAAATGCAAATGAATTTGTGTTTGGTAAAAGAAAATCTCTTTGCTGCCTTCTCCAAACAGATTTTTTTTATAGATTTTAATGCACAAGGAAAACTAAACATCCCCATATGGTGAGAAAATTTCAAGGCATGTATTAAAAGAAAAATATTATGTTACTCATCAAAAACTAATAGATGTGACAGGACAAAAAAAAAAAGCTATGAAAATGTAACTCAAATAATTACAAAATATGGAAAATCATTTATTACAGTGCTTGTAAAAGACTCAGCACAGGCTAAAAGAGAAAAACATGCATTGCAAATTTCAAGAGTGGAATATATTAAATTTCATTTGAAGCAAATTATTTGTAGTTACAAACTTCCCTGCAAAATTAAAACAACACACGTACCCCCCAACATAAATGCATCATTAAGATCAGAACCACTGAAGACGTTACGTTATTTCCTTCTGTCTGAGAGTGTAATGTTTTCTTGTCATATGAAAGATTTTGAGGAACTTTCAATCTCAGAAAGTTCCTCACTCAGCCTTTTTCTGGACACTACAGAGCAGCCTGCACGCCTCCGAGCTGTATTTGCTGCCATTCCACAGACATCATTCTGGCAATCTACAGATACAAAGTAGTCTAAAGATGTCCTGCAAACACTTCCCTTTCCCTGGATGAATGCCCTTCCCTGATGCAGTAGTCACTTCAACAGTTATATATCATCCTAAAATAAGCAAAATATATAAAAACTACAAACACAGGGCTGTTTTCTACTACACTGTTACTCTGAATTTCAAATAGCTGGCAACAATTCTAGGAATTTTGCCCTGCAATCCCAGTATCTTCCTGATCATTCAAAACTGACTGCTGGGCATGATGATCGACATGTCGTGTAAGCACTATAACAGTTGTACAGTTTAAAACTGCGGGAATGAAGCCTGAAAGCAGTGAACAAAATATTTGAGTATTTATCTCTGCTGCACTTACCTTTCACTTAAATTAATTTAAGAGAACCGTGGCCATATGGCAAAACCACAGAACTAGGATTCACGAACCATTTCTATGCTGTCTAGGTTCTTCTGCCATATTTGTCATGGGATTGTCTGAGCTCCTCCAGGATGAAAGAAGGTGACAAGCATCTGTCACATATTTACTCTCTCAGCTTCTCTCCACAGAAATGTGTGTACAGTGTGGGAGGGAGAAGGATGGCTGTTTTATATACCTGTCTTGCAAAGGAAGTTAATATGGTTTGCAAACGACCTTATTCCTGTAAAAGTCAGGGAACAGTTTGAGCCTGCCCCAGCTAAGTTCTGTCTCCTACCCAGGTGCACATTACTTTGTGCGGGAAGAGTCCTGCTGTGCTAGAAAAGCCCAGCTATTGGCAGCAGTATTAACTATTAAATTTTTCTCAGTTTCTAAAATACTTTGTATCTGAAAGTGTATACCATCCTTAGTTGAGCATCACTGCCCATTACTGGGGGGATATCACCTTCTAGGAAAGACGGTTGTTTTCACCTTGTTACTTCTATCTGTTACTTCTATTTGCTTCAGAAAACACAACAACATCTTTTAGTTTGGATTCTATGCCTGGTGCTTTCATTAAGAGGTCACGCAAGACCCCTGATCTGGCTTAACTCCAAGTCTACCACTGAAATGCCAAGATCTTAGAGAAACACTGAGACTTAACTCATGACTTAGTAAAATGCTTACAGAATGAAAGGTGCTATCTAAGTATCTAAGAATTATGACTCAGCGCATGGAAAAATGTTTATTTTCATCCAGGCTAAGACTCTGTCAGGAAGTATTATAGCATTAGTGAATAAGACTCTAGAAAAAGGAACTGCTTACCGTTACATTTATACATTTAATAAAGGCTGAATGTGACAATTAAGAAAGGTCAGTACCCTTGAGGAAGCAGGACAGACAGGCAGGGAGAGGTGGAAGTAGTTATTTTTGCATTAAGGAAACACGCTAAAATATTCATTGTCTTTATCTGCTGTCAAGAGATGTTTTTTGTGTAACAAAAATACCTTTAACCTTTTAAAAACATCACACAAATGCATCCAATTAAACACCTCCTATGTCCAGAAAGAAGGCATCCATACACCTGTTTATTACTGTAACTTTTCTATTCCTACCGTAAAAAATCTAAAAGTTATTAATCTTTACAGCAATGCCTGATACTATTTCTTCTCACTATTATAATTACTTTAAACACAGCATAGAAATATTCATGAGTTCTTTCATGTGGATCCTCATCTGGTGAGACTGAAGGCACAGAATGATTTTACAAAGGGGAACTAGGACGTAAAGCTGCTTTCTGAACACAGGAGAAAATTCACCCTGAGCAAAGGGCCAGAACAATGCCTCTGCATCAGTTAAGACTCAGTTAAGCCTTAAAATAGGATTTAATCATGAATTTTATGATCCATTGGCTACGCACTGGTCTTGTCACAGTGCTGCTTTTCTTCCTTACCCTCTACACCTTTCTGACAAAGATAGGACAACGAGATTGTAACACAAACTTTGGCACCAGTACAATTTCTAATAACGCTGATCCTGAATCAGTTGCTTTCTCCAGTTTATGACACAATGTCTAAACATCCTTATAATTTGTATACTGTACTCACATGCATTAACCACATGCTTTGATTTGCACCTCGTTCTTTTCAATTTAATGCTGTACTTTTATATCTTTCATTACCATATCCCCCACAACCATCCAAAAAAGAGGCAAAACTAGGTGTGATTTACCTTATTACAATTTTTAGAAACTTGGCAAAGAGCACTGCTTGACATACTGTCCTTATCTGGCATTCCTAAAAAAAAAAATACAGAAAATAAATACATACTGTACATTCTTTAAGTAACAGTGGATATATTTATCCATAGTATAGGGAATTGGAGGATTCAATACTTTGATAACATACACATTAATCTATGATTTTTTAAAAGCAGAATACATCTATTCAGACAAAAATTTCTCTTATAGACACAAAAAAGACAAAAAGCTAAGTTGTGTAAATACTATAAGCAGTTTGCTAAACATAGTACTTTCTCACAACTTAATATCTGAAGTAAGTACACAGGAATTATTGATATTTTTTTCATTTAACATTATCTGTTTTTTAGTACTTGGAAGTCGAATGTGTCGTTGAGTTTGCACTCACGAGCATTGCTATGTTATGCTATTGTTTTACAAACAGAACATATTGAACACATAACATATGGAACAAAATTTGCAGATGCAATTGCTAGCCATTAGATATCGTCCTGGTTGGCATCTAAACGATCCTCTGGCAACTAAATAAAAGTACCTTGATTTACAGAAGTGGTGAGTTCCAAAGGCTGCCCTTGGATTCACATCTACAGCACTATCCCAGTTTGACAGGTGCTCACGAGGCAGAGACGTATCCAAACTTATTTAGCTATGTAACTAAGGTCAGACACCAGCATGTCTACCGCAGGCCGTCTGCCCAAACACTAATCTAGGTTCCCAAGCAAGTTGTGTAGCCCATCCTAACTAAAAAAACTAAGCCAGTTTGTAAATTTACTTTACTAGCAGGACTCATTGCCATGTTCCATGGAATTCATGTAACACCTGTAACCAGTTAAATGTTACGTGACAAGATACAGTATGCTTTAGTCAACAGGACTGGCTCATACCGCAGATTTGTGTACAGCTCTGTGTACACTTTTATACAGTTGGGAATGCAGTTAGGCAAGTTCCAAAGTATCTCCTGCTATATGCAGTATTAATACAGTCATAACATTGAATTGGATTTAACATTTAAATACCAACATCCAAAAGCTTTCCTCTTCCCCTTTCTTCTCTTTTCTCTTTTCTCTAACATCTGATGCCTATTTCCACGTACTTACTGTCATTGTTGGAGCCAGTTTCCATAACACCATAAGGAGGAGTAAGAAGTCCAGACATATACTGTCGATATTTCTGAAAGACAGCGATGGCACATGCAGTCAGGTACAGATGTATAAAGCCGTTCAATGGATGATGTGGTATTTACATTTGTGTGTCTGCTGCCTTGCGTTTCACATGCACACAAGCAATCTGAGGCAGTCAGACACATCTTTACCCTTAACACTACAAGGTCTGCTTTCTTGACTGGAGCATACTGCCTTTATTTTATCAAAAGTTGTGGTAAAACAGTTCTCTCCTTCATCTTCCCCAACACGTGGCTTTGAGGGTTCTAATAAATCAATATTGTACCTAGTTCTGTGATTTCCTATAAAGGCTGTTTTAAAGCTCAGCTGAACTCAAGCTAGAAAGCTACTTTATTGCAGGGATGGAGACAAGGCTGTTAACTAAGGATTCATGAGAATCACGTACCTCTATAATTTTGGTGTCAGATTTGAAATAAACAGGATTTAGTGCAAAAACTCTAAACATGTAATTCCCATACACAAAGTTTGGTTTTCAGAAACTACAAGGTTATAAAACACAAACCCAGCACCTCACGTTCTGTATACACACACACACACAAACTGTACTATCACATGAAACTTTGTAACTGCAAAAATAACATTCTTTGTACCACTGTAAACTACATAATTGTAACTGATGTCAGTAACTGGTATTTTTCTTCAGTGAATGTTGGTGACATGATCAATAAGGTTCGAAACTCTGTCTAGGGCTTAAGAAATTCACAGAAGCTAAAAAGTAACATGGGAAAAAGTGTCCTTTTACCAAATACAAATAATTCAATGAGTAAGTGAGACATTTTTGTTTTCAATCAAACTATATTAATGTCATACTTAAGGGTAAACAATTATAATTCCCTTTTGAAACTATCAGAAAACAAGCTTGTGCAAAAGGGATGCTGATGATCAGTGTAAATAAAATGTGTCATGCAGTCGTTAGGGTGTGCAGTGAGCTGAACGTGAACAACCAACCAGCTGAAGTTCAAGTAGGTTTCAACTAAGCACACGTAATAATTGAGACAGAAAATTTCCCTCATAGTACAATTTTAATTTAAATGTTTTATCCTTTGCTCTATGGAGATGTTTGGATGCATTCACTTTTAAAATGTTGTCTGCTGGATTTTAACAGATGCTTGAATTATCCTTTTAACATTTCTTTTTCTTGGAAATGCATATGAAAGTATCATCAATTCTACACTAAAGACTGAGTGTCTTGCATTCTAAATAATAACAAAAGCTACAAAGATTACATTAATCTTAATAATCCAATCCTATTTTTAGACAAGCTATTACATCCTAAAGCTTAGTAACATATTATTTAAATCTCACCCATAATCCAGCTGAAAATTTGTGGGAGGGAGCAAAACTATGTTATATCCCTGGTCAGCCACACAAAAATGCTACTTCATTTGAGGATAAAAGTCTACTGTCTTCTTTCCCAAACCATTCACTTTCCCATACTCTGCATCCAGTCCTACGCCTGGAACTCACTAAGAGGAAGAACATGAGAAATAATTATTTTCTCAGTTCAACTAGTAAATCACACACATAAAACAAGAGAAGAACTCATTTGGTTGGCCAAATGAAAAAAAGGAAAGCATGTCACAAGAGGTTGAAATTACATTTTATTCAAACAGTACATAACTGTTTTGTTCTACTTTCTACTGAATTTGGTCTTGATATGTGATTTAGAAATGGAAAATTGAAGTGTTCCATTTGGGATATGATAAAATCAAATTGTATAGGGTTTTTATCTTTTGTTCTTCCTCACCATTCAGATGATATTTGTTTCTTTGTTTTGTTTTTCCGAAAATAGCATTTTCCCAGAAATACGTTATTAGTCCACATTTAATCCACCTTGATAAGGAACTTGAATTGTAGAAAGACAGTCATTTTCTCTTTTATTTATTTCCTATACCACATTCACAGTAATCATGCACTACATGGCAGTTTCCCTTCTGATTAATTCTCTAACATTTTTCCTGGTTATTCTTCTCATGAAATAAAACATAAAACACACCATACAATTTCCAAAAGATTTTGGGGCCTAGCTTAACAAAAATGTCTGCAGGTAGAATAAGCCAGAATTGCATATAAAAAAAAAAGGATGCACCTAACCCCATTCAGCCCCACCTCATGCTCAGGATGTCAAAGCCACCAGGAACAAAAGCACGGGCTGCGGACTTCAACTCTGTCATCCTCCACATGAAGGTCCCACCGTGCTATGGGATGAGTCTACTTATGAGTCTGACACAACAAGCCCAGTGAACAGTGCTGCCTGTGAAGGAGTTCAGGCAGCATTACCAGAAGAGGGACCGATTCAAGACATGCCCTCAGAAAGTTCAGTTGTTCAGACTCTTCCAGGGGACCTCAGCATAAATGAAACCACCTTCTATATTTGGGTATCTGGAGGGAAGGCTGATGTGATTGCCTACGCATGGTCTCCCAGGAAGATACCTCCGTGGGGTGTGGGCTGACATAGGAGGTATAATTTACACCTAAAGTTGTGTCACTTCATTAGCCAAATTAAATGTCAAGGGACACTTATTTGTCAAGAAGTCAGGGAAACACTGTTTGCTGCGAAGCCTAAGTATGCAAAGAAAGATGTAAGGTACTGCATAGAGATTCACAGTATCAGATGGAGTAATGAAGTTCCAGGCATGAGATCTCTCAAAGCTGAGATAATGAGGAAAACAGTACTGACTGTGAGACCTATCTTGTTACCGTAATGTCTGTAAATGAAAAGAAAATGCAGTAAGTTCAATTGTACTGGTAGGTGGCATTTAAAATCATCCTGAAGATTAAGAGACTAAATATTTACAAAAGGCTTTTGAAAATGTATTCCAGTGGTGGTATGAACTCTGGAAAGGCTTTCCTTATGAAAGACAACAACAGCTATCAAATCATCATAAGCTTGTTTATTACCAGAAGTTTTCTAGTTCTGTAAATCCAACATGACAGCATGTTTTAAAACTACACTCAGTGACCTATTCACTCTGTCTCCAGATTTCTACCACTTTATAAACTCTATCATGCAACAGCTTAAAGATCAGACACTTCCTGCATCTAATCTGACAGCACCAGTAATAAAGACGGTATTTTTTCTTCCAGTTACTGACCGCTTCATATCCATGCAGTGGTGAAAATTAACACGACCTTTTCAGCCACTGCTATAGCCTAAAGCACAGAAGAGTGCTGACAAGGAACAGTTGGGGATGGGAGAAAAGGAGGAAAGAGAACCACACACGCCTTACTGGGGAGGTGCTGTGGGTGAATTTTCATAACAACAGTTTTTAAGGCCACTCATCGTCAGGCTTTTCAGTGTAGACTTCATTTGTAGTTAACTGCAGGTCGTCTCAGAGGTTTTCATGACTACTATAGATTTTCTTCTGCTCCATGAACATAATTTAGTATATTTTTATACGTTAAAGTTTAGAGGCAATTACTATAATTCTGATGTAAGCTATCTCTAAATTTCTTACAAATTTTTCTAGTGTACATAAGGTATATGTGTCTTTGTAGTTAGTCCCTTCTCTTCTGCTGCAAGTACTGAAGAAATAACACCTATTTAAAGGGGGAAAAGTAGCAAAAAAGAGATCTATACAATACAAACACTCCAAAACAAGCCACGTAGATGTGAAGAAAACAGAGAAGCCTTTGCTGTCTTCCATGTGCATTGTGTAGCAAAACCACAGCACTCGAACGGGAAAGACTCAGGACTGATGAAAGGATGACCTCCTGGGTATAAGGTTTTGAACACAGGTTCCACACCAGATACTCCCCCAAGCGCAGCAGTTCTCCAGTCAGCAGAGTACCTGATGGGCTGTGTAATATGGACCCAGGCAGTGATGGTTTGTAGCGCCAAGTAGTGAACTCAGGCTTCCGATGCTTCCCCTTCCCAAGGTAAACCTACACGTGGGCAGACAGTAGGAAGTGTCTTGTAACATTGGAGAAGGTTTTGTAGACTACAACAGGTGCTTGGTTGAATACATGATCTCTCTCTTTCTCCCCGACTTACAATCTCAACCCACAGTGTCACTTTTGACCAGATGCACTTCTGCTGCCTCCTGGTCTGCCTACCACTGGCAGCAGAGGTGCCAAGGCAGAGCCTGCATTACTTGCAAACTTGCGAGCAACACAAAATAATTCATTTCAGTTGTAGAAATCCTAGGCCAAACATCAAGGTGCCCTTTCCACACAGGCTTTTCAAAACCTTGTGTAACTATTTTATTGGACGCTGTTATTTTGACTATCACCTGCGTTCTGCAATCCTCCTGTAGTAGCTGTCCATACTCCTGGAATAGTTTCTCTTGGGGAATATATGCTGTAGCTTGACAATGTGGGAGAGCTTCTCTATTTTCTTTTAACAATAAATAATTGATCACTGATGCGCTCAGCACAACTCTGTTCTTCCTCTAAGTTGGCTGCACCCGTCATACCATTTTGGCAATGAACCACCTCCCTTGTGAGCATTACTCACAAGGGTGCGTCATTCCCATGGTGCATTGTTTCTTCTCTTTTCTCCAGAACAACGAGAGATGTGAAAGAGCCCCTGAAGATCTCTGGATCCTCTTTTCACCCACCAAACCAAGCAAAGATTACTGTCTCAAAGTCTGGATCTTTGCCTTTAGATCTGATACTCCGAAGATTGCTCTTCACTGAACTGACAGGTAAAATCTCAGGTCATCTGCCTGCTATCCGTTAGTGTTTTCCAATAAAAAGTGCCTAATGTTCTTACAGAATTTCACCAAAAAAATAACTGATAAATCATATTCATAGTTGGTTTTCACCCAAATATTGTTACACAGGGGAAACCAAACAACACGCTTGCTATTGCCCGATAGTATGGTATGTGCTGAAACCCACAGAAGTCTCTGGCATAATTCTGATTACAGATACTGCCTTCTTAGTACATTTACAAATTAGTATGCATATTTCTTCTAACCAGGCTCTATCAGAAAATTTCCATGCATTTCAGGTCAATGCCACTTAACTGGGTATCACAAAAAGGAC